TATATATATATATATATATATATATATATATATATATATATATATATATATATATATATATATATATATATATATATATATAATGGAACATTCACGATATTATATATATAAATATATAAAATATGTAAAATTGTAATAGAGTATAGCAATAGTGTATTACAAGAAGAAATTATCCGTTTTATTTTCTTCTTGTATACACTCCGGAACGATAATAGGGTTACATCAATATGTAGATAGTCGTTAAAAGAAGTAACGGGTTTAATTTAGTAATTTCAATTTGTCCTGATAATTTTTGTACGTTACTGTAGGATATATAATTTTAGAAAGAATCGTAATCACACAATGAAGAATGTGAGATAGTGCGTTTTTGCACTGTATGGCTGTATTATTTAATTCTGCTACTTGCCAAACGCTTACGGCAAGCCATGTTGGTAAAACTAAGAAACATCGCTAGATATAATTACAGAAATATATAGTTTATTGTAATAATTTGTACAATATTATATGATTACAAGAATAAAGTGTACCAACATTGAAGTAAGGTTTCTATAGTATACGTTACACACTTTGAAACCTATCGTCGTTTGGTAGCAACAGAATTCGGCCTGAGTAAAAAAGCACAATCCCAAGTAAAAAAAACAAAGTATGAACGAAAAACTGCAGTGATAATAGAAAGGAAAGATACAAGGTCTTGTAAAAAATATATATTCAGGTTACCAAAAGGGAATTATAATAGATTCGACAAAAACATGCTAGTAGATATTTCACGACATGCAAGTGTAATATTTCGCAGTTTTAAATTCATGTATATTGTCACAAGGATATCTTTTTATTAAATCATTTTTATCATGAATGATGGATAAAATTTTCATCTGAAATACTGTATTAAGAAGTTCGGAAACCTCGTTCGAAATTTAATGAATAATACGCATTTTAATCACAAACCATTGTTAATTGAATTTTGGTTTAGGAGAAATGAGCGATTACAGTTATTGTATTCTCGCACAAAATATATATTTCATAAATTTAATATTCAAAATGAAAATCAAAATAAGATTGATCAAAATTATTAATCCGCATATATCCATCTTCTCCGCCCGTCGAGTAACTTCGTCCGTTAGGATGAAAAGCGAGGGAGTTGATTGGGCCGAAGTGCCCCTTCAAACGCGCGAACTCTTCTTCAAATACCAAGTGGAAGAATCGCGAGTCAAACTTTCCCTGTCGCGCGGACGTCGTAGTTACATCCATGGCGTCCTGACCACCACCAAGTACCACCTATAAAGACAGAGATAAGTATTATTTAATAAATGTAACTTCATAAAAATATAAAATTACAATAAGGGCAATGTAAGGACGATATCTCGAAATAAAGACTCACATGGTCGAAAATCGGTGATATCGTGGCGGAATTCACAGGTCTTTCCGTCTTATAAGTCTTTAGCAACATTAAGGACTCACTATCAAACAGCTTTGCTGTATGATCCTTGGATGCAGTCACAAACATGGTACCATCTTTATTAAATTGCATGTCATTTATTTGAGATTTATGACCTTTGACACTAGACAATTTTTTCCCTGTCTGTATTGTAAAAAATAATCATTATTATTAACTTGTGTTATTGCATTAGTTTAATGCAAACTCTTCCCATGACTTAAATTTCTCAAATACTTGCCCTCACATCCCAGAGAGTGATCTCTCCATCTTCATGGCCTGTAATAATTGTCTCATCCAGGGCACCCCATAATATAGCTGAGATTCTAGGACCGTTAACCGAAATCCTAGAAATTGCATCATCTTGTGATAATGTAGGGTCTACATTTCGTATATCCATGATAAACATCTCACACTGATGACCCAAAGCTTTATCAGTGGAAAATACAGCAAGATTCGCTGAATAACTGAAGCCACATGTTCGTACTGAACTATTTGTATGCAGCTGACCAATTTCCTTACCTGAGCAATATTACATAAAAAAATATGTTTATACACTATATACAAGTAAAATATAAGCACATTCTTGAATAATTCTGTTATATACAAACCAGTCTGACAGTCCCAGACTCTCAAAGAATTGTCACCACTTCCAGATAACAATCGTGTAGTATCCCAGTTAACATCGATGCACCATACGGAACCATTGTGACCATTAAAGGTTCCAAGACGCTCTCCATTCAGAGAATACCAAACATTGGGCTGCTTATCTTTACTAGCAGAGAACACTAGATCTCCTTCTCTATTATACTTGATCTTAGTAATGGCACGCTCGTGCCCGTGTAACATCAAGGGTTTCTAAATCAGATTATTATTTTAGTATTTCAGATAATAATGCATCGTGAAAGACACACATACACGAAATATAAATAAAAAATCGAATTTTGCTTGCAAAGTACTGAGAAGTACTATTATTTCACAATGTCACAGTATTTCGATGATTGGGGTTATAGCATCGCATGTTTTATTAGTACACTGCACAGATTTTACTAAAGGAAACGATAATATAGGTTTAATATAAGATTGAAAAGAACCTACCATTCTGTCGTGTTTAACTCTCTCGATGAGATTCTCAACTAACTAATAGATGGATATAATTCTTTAAAACGACACGAGGCTCAACGAGTTTTCAGCCAGTAGAAGATGGAGGCATTCTGCGTATGCATAGACGATACGATATCCAATAGCAGATTGCTACGTCACTCCACATGCGCAGAAGCAGTGTTGCGAATTCGGGAGATTTTCTCCGCGACAGGAAGCCTTCTGCGCATGGTCATGATATATATCACGACCAATCACGACTCAATTTTGTTTATGGTTACGGATACGGATATGTTTACGGACCATTGGACCCACACCTTTATACACAAAAGGCCTCTTGCCGCGAAGAAATCTTCTGAACTTGCAGCATTACTCCGAGAGCGATTATTGACGTTACAAAACTCCACTAGCCAATCACAAAATTTATACGAAAATGTTCCAATGACCAATGAATTTAAGTTTAATAACCCAAAGTCGATTAACTCAGATTTAATCGAACATGCTATGACTAATGGCTCCTGCACACAGGACGCGGTAAGTCCGCGCGACAGCCAATATGTTCTTTTTCCGTAAGAGTTAGAAGGTTATTACGGAAAGCAGCATATTGATTGGCTGTCGCGCGAACTTCCGCCGCGCGGCAAGCATTATGGTTCCTGCACACAGGAAGCGGTAATGCTTGCCGCGCGGCGGAAGTTCGTGCAACAGCCAATCAATATGCTGCTTTCCGTAATAACCTTTTAGTTCTTACGGAAAAACGACATATTGATTGGCTGTCGCGCAGACTTCCGCTGCGCGGCAAGCATTACCACGTCCTGCAGGAGTCATTACGACTCTTTACGACTCTACGACTTCTATTGTAGACGAACATTTATTCTTCTTACGACCAAAGAAGACTTGACTATGATTGGTCAATTTTCTTGAGATTTACAACTAATGTAGAACGACTCTCAAATGGGAGCGGTGCACTTGGACACGGTGCATTTGGACACAGCCAATCACAGCACCGTGTGATTAGAGACATTTGTAGGGTCCCTTGGAACAGCGACTTGTGATTGGACTGTGTCCAATTGTCCCGTGTCCAACTGATATACACCCCTCTCAAATTACCGGAAGCCATATATTGAAGAAAGGAAGGAAAAGTTGCCCATCTTATAAAATCACACTGCCATAGTCCCGTTCCTTGTTCCGTTCGTACGAATAGTCCGTCGCGAAAAATTGAAAAGGAAACGAATTTGAAACAGTATGACAAATATACCCGAACAACATGAGATCGGTCAGAATTATTGCTTCAGATGGAACGATTATCAGAATCATCTGTCTGATGTGGTACAACAGCTCTTGGAGGAGGATTGTATGGTGGACGTCACCATATACGCAGCTGGCTACCGTGTTCATGCGCATCGCATCGTGTTATGCGCCTGCAGCACTTTGCTTCAAGTAAACAATCTGTGTTGACAGAACTTGATTATATGAATGCCATGGAATATAGATGACATTTTTTAGTATTATTTCTAGGAGATCTTTAGCCAAGTGACGGACGATCATCCGACTATCATTTTGAGTGATGTATCTCCTCAGGATTTAAAATCAATTATTGAATTTGCATACCATGGGGAGATCCGAATTCCTGTAGAAAATATCAGTAGTTTGCTCGACGCCGCACGGTCATTAAAAATAAGCGGCCTCATCGAAGTTGGTATCAAGTAATAGATAGAAATTATTTAGCTGGAACAGCACAAATAGTAGTACAAGTCTGCAAAAATTCAAATTAGAGTTCAAAGTTTTAATTTTCTGAAAAATATTTGCATTCACATTATACTTTATGATTGTAATTTATGAGTTTATAGTTGTATAATACCTCCTCAATAGATTGAAGGACTCGATGAAAACGAAGATGCTGCGAACGCAGAGAACAGTGGTGTTGATGAGCATATAACTGAAATGGAAGAAAATGCAGTTGCTTCTTTGGAGAAAGACTTGCAAGACCAACAGGAAAAAGCTACTGCTAAGAATAATACTTCAAAGAAAAAAGGACGCCGTCGTGAATTCTTCAGGAAAGAGTACAGTGATATCATGTTGACATCTGCAATTGATGACTTAAAATCGGGACAAACGTTAGTAGAAGCTGCTACTAAAAACAAAGTACCACGTTCAACATTGTACATGCGGGCAAAATCATTAGGTATCCATTTAAGTGGGAGAAATGAGTATCCTGCAGAAAATATGAAAGCAGCAATAACTGCTGTGAAGAGTTAGTATATATTTTTTATTTCCTTTTTCTGTTTTGTATATTCTTTCTTTACATTAAATGATTATGATAACACAAGATAATTTGCAGTCATTTAATAATCAAATATGTGGCCTGTCCAATTATTACAGATGGTTCAAGTTTGCAGCATGCATCAGATTTGTACAAAATACCCAAAACTGTGTTGTGGAGGCGTATGCAGAAAGAGGGTCATCCAGTCTTGCGTGCTGAAACTAGGAGATCATATGGTTTGGACAAGAGAGAGGCTGCTGTGAAGGCCTTAGAAAGAGGGGAGAATCTGTCGAAAGTTGCATCAAAATTCAAAGTGCATTTTATTTCTGTTGCTCTGTTCACCATTCAATACTATCTGTAAATAACTTGTGAATATAACTTCAATCTTTTCTGCTCCTACAGATACCAAAGACTACATTATTCAGGGATAAGACACGATTAGTAGACCAGGGCAAATTACCATTGTCATTTTGGAAGAAACGCAAGATTGAGAATGAGGAACTGAAAAAATCGCGATTAGAAGAAGCAGTAGCCGCTTGTAAGGGCGGTAGGATGTCGCAAGCTGTTGCATCCATGACTTATCATATTCCAAAAACAACAATATGGCGAAAGCTTCAACAGGATGGAAAGAAAACTGAGAAAGTATCGAAAGTAAAGAATGAACGGCTCAATACATCGCAACAAGATTCTGAGATAAAAACGGAGGAAAATTCCAATTATAGTTATTGTGAGGTACTGCATACAACGCGATATATTTGCAATTTCTGTTCTTTCATGAAAGACTTGATCTTCACATAAAACATCGTCTTTTATATCAGGAGTAAACATTCATTTACCAAGCTCGATTACACCAGTTAATACAAAATATACATTATGATATAGGTTTCATCGGAAATTCCCATCGCTTACATAGACGAGGAAAATATACCAGAAGATTCCGTGATAATTTTAACGACGGAGGAAATAGATGAACTGAATTTGGAAGAAGGCAGACAAATTATTGTAAATCCGGTATGTAGAATGTATAGCTGATGAAACAACACAATATTTCTTCTTGATGAGTTTCGTAACGTATCTTGTATTTATTAGGAGAATTTGTTTCTTAATTCCTAAGAAATTCGCTTTCTAATTGAGTACGGATTATGTTGCAAAATTCAACAAAGTACCCTACCTACCCTATTTAACCGACTGTACTAATTCTTATATATACTACAGTAATTGATTTTCATCTTTGTCACTATAATCGACATGTGTTCTCAGGAAACTGGACAGGGCTACATTCCGTGCTCAATAAGTGTCGACGGAAGCGCAAACTACTCACAAGCTGAGAGTTAACGTTACAAATACAGTTACAATAAGTTACAAATACAGATAATAGAATTTCAAACCAATTAACATTGCGCATTCGGTTGCAGTATTGTTTTTACATATTTTTACAAGTTGTCATCGTCAGAATGGTCACAGCTGTTTTGCAACCGAGAATATAAATAGTTGTTACTATATTCTCAAAAAAAAAGGGATTATAACTTTTATGAGATTTCGCGACCGCGCTCGCGGGGATCGTTTTATATTTATATTTTATGTATTTTTTTTCGTTAAAAGCGAAAATGATTAGTATAACCGCTAGATTTAAGGAAAAAAAAGAAATATATATATATATATATATATATATATATATATATATATATATATATATATTATTTTTTCTTAAATCTGGTATTGTTATACTGATAGTTTTCGGTTTTAATATATAAGAAAATATAAAACGATTTCCGAGCGATCGCAAAATCCCTTATAAAAGTTATACTCTCTTTTAGCTATACTTATATATATATACTGTTTCCTCAATTTATATCAAATTTAAAAAATCGCTTATCTTACCTTTAAAAATATAGTCTTAAAAATAAATAATTTCTAATAATTATAAAAAAATGTCATACATATGTGCGTCTACCACAATTGAATTAAGCCGCGTTTGTTTAGTTTGAGCGCGAGGAATATTCCGAAAGTCTTTCTTCACAGAACCTAATAACATTCTAGTCAACTAGAGATCCTATAATCAGAGTTTGGCCATAAGATAGAACTTTCTGATTGGTCCGCTATATTTCGTCAAATCCCACACAGTATCTAATTTCAGTACGCCTATGGCAGTAGGTTAGGTTAGGTTAAGAAAAGATAGACAAAGAGATTGAAAATATGTCTCTCTTTCTCGCAGGATCTTGATTAAACCGCGCGTTGTGGCCAAACTCTGATTAGAGTGACTATAGTCAACGACTAATCAGCGCCCTCAAGTTGATCTTATGCCCGTATCAGATAATAGATTGAGGATTGCAATTGGATCAATGAAATAAATCAGAACTAAGATTCAAAATACCTGATTGGTCCAATTGCAATGCTCAATATCCATAATCTGATACGGGCATTAGGTCCGTTCTTTTTAGCTAAACTACCTGACTGATGCAGACTGGTGCAATAAGTTCGAGTGAAACAAAATATATTTGTCTCACTCTGACTTTCGCACTAGTGTGCACTAGTTCAGACTAGTTCAGACAGTTCAGCTAAAAAGAACGGTTCTCTTGAATTTCGTGAAGCCTGGAGCTACGCAAATCCGGAGCACTAGTGTCGAAAAAGATGGCCGTGGTACATTTGACAGTTGACGACGTACTGATCTTCTTGTTATAATAGCGTTCATTGCCATTGTGCGTCACGTATGGTACGTGCGAGTGCACGAACGGCGCAGAAAAGAAGCAGAAGGGAGGAATCGCTGGAAGGAGCACGCCTGGGAAGGTGGAATTGCGTCTCGGAGTCTGCGACGAGTGGTTCTTCTCGACGACGTACAGTGCGCTACGTCGCGAATAAAGACGACGTCGCAGTCGTGACACCTAGAGTACCGTCGCGAGCGTGCAAGTGATCCGGATCCCTTACAGGGCCGAGCGAGGCCGTACAATCGGAAAAATTGCGTACATCTCACGCGAGGACATGCCGGACAGCGGCGCCGTTTACCAACCGACCACAGTCGGTTACACGTACGACAGCGGGGGTGACGGCACCGGAGGTGGCGGCGGTGGTTTGAGACACGGTTTCTGGAGGATCATGTCGAGGCACAAGCTTAGCTCCCGCAAATGGCTCGAATGGGTGCTGCTGTCGGTTGGATTGTGCTTCTTCGTTGGTGGTCTCGCGACGATTCTTGTCAGCTTCGTCTGCACTCCATCACGAACGAACGTGCCAGAGGTAAGATCCCGATTTGGTGATTTGTCCGTTGTTGCCTATTTCTATATGCGATTTTGAGCATATATATATACATAGAGTTTATTTTTTACTTTCTTATTCTTGCTTTTTTTTTACTTCGTACAAAGAGTATTTATTTTAATGGCCTACATCATTCCTGAAGCATGTGCTATAAATAGATAAAAAAATATAACTTTCAAATAAGCAGCAGCTTGCTGTAGAAAAACTATTGATGCTATTCTATTGTCTGTTTCTGCGTATGAATATCTCTAAAGAGTATATTTTTACTTCATTTTAATTTAGATTTTTTTCTTTAGAATAACGTAGAGCATTTGTTCTAATGATCTGCATAATTAAATACAAAATATACACAAAGAACTATAACTGTTTCAAATAAATAACAGATTGCTGTGATTGATGCAAATATGATATTCTTATGAACACTGCATATGTGTATAAACACTATATGTATCCTCTATTAAAATATATATTGAACAATAACATGAGACACAGCTGTAACAGTTGGCTTCTTCATGTTTGTTGACATTGACTGACATTGAGCAATGATTATAGGCCAAACAAGAAGACCATACTACGGTAGCTACAGATATAACGCAGCACGTAGAAAATACAGAAGATGGTTCCGTGGCACTGGGTGCCGGCATGATGATAGTCGGTGTATTGCTCGGTTTAGCGTGGGCGTGGCTGTACTTCTTCCGCCGTAACAAATCACCCAGGAACGGCATGACCGGCAGTAGTGGCCAGGTAGGCAGGCAATCTTCAGCCGTACAATATTTTGCGTCTGATTTTTACAGGGGTGCGCGGATATTCGAAATCGCGCGGATACGCGGATACGCGAGTCTCAAGTCGCGTTGATAAGCTTTTCACATTATCAAGGCTTCTGGTCTCAATGCTGCGAAATCCTGAATTGATGGCATCAGAAGCAAAAAACAGCAAAAATTCCTACATGTCAGTTCCAAATAAAAAAATATCTGTACAAAAGAACATTTTAGATCGATTCTTTCGTACAAGTATCTTTTTATTTGAAAGTGACACGCAAGAATTTTTGCGTTTTCTCGCTTCTGATGTCATTTCTCGTGTGCCAAATCAAAAGATATTTGTATGAGAGAACATTTGAGATCATTTAAACGCACTTGTAAAATGCTCCGGAAATTTTTCCCTTGCTAGAGCCAAAAGATAATCTCAAAATTGACATACAACTTTCCTCTTTAATTTTGTGATTTTCCTCTTTAATTTTGTGATTTTCCTCTTTAATTTTGTGATGTTAATTTCACGGCTATTTCGGATACAACTAGCATTTCAAGCACCAGGTTGTGTCTATGTCGCGATGGGCTCTGGGTATTCCGAGCCGAATAAGAGAGATATCCGTCACCTTCGGGAACCCGCGCACCCCCGCTCTGATTTTATTTTACCGGAAGCCATCCGCTCTCGGGTCTGTACGCTCGTTTCTTTATCTTATGTACGCGTTGCTATGAGGAAAGATGTTGGGCGGTTTGAATCCATCGACTGACTTGCTGGTGGGTTCCACTTCGCAGTACGGGCCAGTACTTACGGAGGTACCGAGCCAGCTGAAGATGAAGCAAGCGGGCGATACGCCGGCCTTGCCGCTTTCCGATCAAGAGGAGGAAACGCACACGCTAATGCAGGACTCCGCAAGCCCGCCGGTCGTTTCCGTCGGATCCGGCGTCATCGCTAATCAGATCCCAGGTTGAGTACGCTCGATCGCTTTATGCGCGCGCGCACGCTCGTTCGTAACGCGTGTAACGGACGAGAGAGAAAGAGAGAGTGAGAAGATTGCTTTTGTTTTTATAAATCTTATATACGCGTTCACTGCGAAAAGAACTTATCGTGACTTTCGACGATCTTCGTGGATCTTGTCTCGTTTTATTTCCGGGGACGCTGTCCCTTTTTTGACTTTCTTTTCTCGTCAAAGTCGCCTTAACGACGGCTTTGTCGATTAATCGACTTTGCCATTCAACAGTACTGCTTTGTTGTTGTTCTCTCCCGTGTTTCTGTACGGTTTGTCTGACTTTCGTGGCATAGATATTCTTACTTTAATATGCACAAACGCGATTTAAGAGATCTCATTTATATGTATAGGTACATTTTTAGACGCGTTGGTACTTATCCCTTTGTTCTCTACCTATCGCATTCCTCCACTCCGTCCATTGTCATTGTTAATATGTTAGGTGCGAGCATTGGATCCAGATAGAAAGAGACGCACTTTACAGATTGTATTCTTAAGACAGTTGCGTTACGACCGATATCAATCTATGGTGATGAGTTTTATAATGATCTTTTATATATATCGGCAGCGAAACACTTATTGCGAGGTATTCCTTGACTTATATTTATATCATTGAAGGATCGTAGTCGTTGCTACATACATCTCGGACGAATCTACACGAGCACATCGTCCCAGATCGTCTTGTCCTAATTGTGCAGTAAACGTGCTCTCATGATATTTATGTATTCTTACGTACGTACCTTTTAAGTATCAGATCTAAATTAATATCACGTGGTAGGCTGTAGTCATCGTTGACTATGCATGTATATTGTAAATTGACGACCGCACATTGGAGGATGTACATCAATTCAGTCAATAATTGTCACTGTATTAGTACATGAACGATTATATGTATATATTAGAATAATGCGCGTGTGTGTAAGGCATAAGACGAAGTAATTGTAACTTGAAAGGCGAGTTTTGAAATGTTTCTGGGCGTGTTTCCTCGGTCATATCACCACAGTGCACAATTATCATATTGTTCCGGTTTCTTTTTAAATTTTCACTTAATATCTCTGATACTACTATATAATTGTAATTTTATATTGCACATGATTTTCTTACAAACTGATCTTCTGCAATGAATACATTTTCGCTTCAATGACACACTTATCGAATAATTTCTATGATTTTACATAATTAATTTAGCCCTGGACTCATATGTAAGCGTAATGTAAATGTAGAATCTATCCTAGTAGAGTACTTAACGGTATATTAGATGCTTCGGGGCAAAATATATAAAATTTTGTAAAACACCAATTCGAGCTAATTTTTATACATTTATTGTCTTTGCTAAAGCTATGTGTTCAGTTTTACGATATGTGATAACGATTTTTGAGGAACCATCGAAGGACGGCCTGAAAATTCATCTGAATTCAATGCTACTGTAGATTCAATGCACATGTATAACATCACCAATTTTTAACATTTGTGAGATCCCTATTTTACGTTCGTTATTGAACTGTATACTAATTTATGTAAATGTTCTGGGATATGTAAGACAAATAAACATACGATACAATCTGTGACTCCTCTTTTTTCCAACAATTACAAAGATTCATTTATGCGACATATGATATATAGTTTAGATTTCTTTGTATCATCCTTTATATGTGACAAAACTATTTTTTATAAACATACAAATTTTGTACAAGATAGTTTTATTGATATTTAAATAATATACTCTTAAGAGATGCTAAGCACTACCCAACATATATTTTTTTATTGTTTTTATTGTATTATTGTCGTATTATAATAGAATTAAAGGATAGAATAAAGAACATGCAGAAAATAATGGGTCTAATCCCTTTAGACCCCTTATTGGATGCAAGTCAGCTTTTGACATTTCTATCAGCTGTCACACATCCAATATGGCCACCCGCAAGATGCGATCGCTCCTGGAGGGCACCGGAGAAACGTCTACAGTAGAGCGAATGCGAAATCAGTGAATGTGACCGAAAGACTCTGAACTGTAAATCGCGAGATTATCTCGACCCCACGATGGCCGGCAACGGCGAAGTCTTGGAGGGATTTATATGTCCCATATGCATGACCGACTTTAAAACGCCCAGCCACTTAACGAAGCATTTCGAAGAAATCCACAATGACGATCCGGAAATTTTAAGATCGCTGAAAGGTAAAATATCTTTTGCTGATTTATTCCTCACTCTTAGGAAATTCACAAAATTCTGCTCGCGTCGTTCACTATATAAACTTGCGAAATGTATATAAGGAACGAATGTCAAAGCTGATCTTGTGTTTCAGACCTGTTTGGCAAAGCCAAGAAGAAGATCTTGAAGCAAGATGATATGCCGGAAACTTTTCCAAGTGCAATAGCACAGGGCAAGAGGCAAAGCCCTGAAATTAATTGGGGACCACAAGAAATAGGTATCAATATGTATTACTTGCTCCAACAGTAACACTTGGCTTCCAGATTTTTCCTTTTTTGTATACATCAATTGTGTTTGTGACTGTGATACAAGTACATAATCAACTGTGGTAAAGTATCCTTGCTGATTTGGAATTCTTCCAGGTGCACTTACATCTCATACAAGATATTTTAAGGACATTAGAAACGCTCGATTAGAGAGATACACGTATGAAACAAATAAACTTCTCATAAGGCTAGATAAATTATTAAATAATTTACCGTCGGATCCTGTCGACAGGAAAGGTAAGCAAACACAGAAATTACTCACACTCTGTGCTCATTCTATGTTTATTTGTTTTATGTAGAATTAACTTAAATTATCTGATGCTTTGAAAATTATCCTTTTTTCTCGACAGTCAATAAATAACTTGAAGATTAATTAATGACAAAATTCTAAGGAAAAATAGGTTAAACATAAAGGTTGCATATCACATTAATTTCCAGGCTATTGGTTGCCAAAGGAAAAAAAAATATTTTGAATATTTTACAAATATGCTCAAGCGATCAGAAATGTTCTTTTATATAAATATTTTTTTATTTTAAAATGACACAAGAATTGTGTTTTTTGCTTCTGACATAAATCCGAAGTTCTACAGCAATGGAACCAGGAACATTAAAGCTAATTAAAATAAAATTTTTACATCAGCTCATGAACGCACCATCGTGCCGTGGATCGATGAAAAAGATGTGAAACTATGTCCCAATTGTGCTAAGAGCTTTCACCTGGCGAGAAGAAAACATCATTGCAGACTGTGTGGGGCGGTCATGTGCCATAATTGTACATTATTCCTGTCTCTAGTTAACGCGCGTGCGTAATTTATGCAACATTGTTTGAGAGAAAAGATCTTACATTTCTGAAGTTTTGACAAGTCTGACAAAATACTTCTTTTTTTACAGGAAAAATGACCAGTCCCGCGTCAGTGCAGGATGATTCCGCTTTGCCTCCCACATCAGAACGAGCCTTCTCAGAGAGGATAGTACGTGCGGGCGTTGGTCTCAAGAAGCTGGCACGTTCGCCTTCCAGTGGTAGTTTGAACAGCGTTCTATCGTTGGTCAATGATCCTGCTAGTGGCGAGCAACACTTTCGAGTTTGCACGCACTGCATGAACCTGCTCGACGCACGGGAAATGCTGAAAGCGAAGCAGTTCGACAAACCGATCGTCTGTCAGTTCTACGAGAAGATGCGGGCTTACATGAAGGAGGCCACGAAGCACTCGGCGATGTACAATAAAATGTGGGAGTCATTGAAGTACGTGAGTTCCCGCTGTATCTAAGAGAACGTCGATTCGGTTCCAATTGCACGATGATACTGAGCGCACGTGAAACTTCCAGAGAAGGAGAGACCATGTACGATTTGGAGGATGCTCAAACGTTGCGACTGAAGCTAGCAAAGCTGGGCGAGAACATAGACGCGACCAGTAAGAGGATTCTGATACTCGGCGCGCCGAAAGACACCGAAGAAGCTGCTCCGCAGGGACAAGAACAGAGGTTGTATCAGATGGTCAGAACGTCGGCGATGATATTTCTGAAGGAAGAGCTGTTGACTTTGCAACCTTTACCCACGCCGGAAGAGTATGCAGTTCTGCAAGAAGAACGTCAGAAGAGGATAGAGGCTCGGATAGCGTATGAGCGACAGTTGGAGGAAGAACAGCGAGAGAAGCCGAAGGAGCAACGTAAGAGGGAAACATGGAACTTGGACAGCGGACCTTCTCTGAAAGTTACTCAGGTACGCGCCAGTTAAAGTGAAATCACATTAACGATGCAAAGTTCGAAATTCAAATCGTGTAAGTTACAGTATCATAAAATTTAATCTAATTTTTCTTTTGTCTCGAACATGATTATGACATTCTTTCAAAATGTTCAGCCGATAGTGACACAGTCTCAAGGCTGGGGCCCGTCCAGCGTCGCACCTATCATGTCTTCTTCTATGGACCCGTTGATTGAACAAATGAGCAATCTTCACGCGTACATCAAACAAGCCCGGGCAGATTGCAAGTACGACGAAGTCGCGACTTTAGAGAGCAATCTTCGAGAGCTTCAAAGTGCCTACTTTGCTATGAAACAGAGTACCAGTAGCGACAATTAAGCATACAGGCAGCACGCTTCTTACAGCTTGTCCAACGACAAATTCTATTATAGTAAAATACATTTCCTATTAATTTGCAAAGTATTTAATAAGTTCTACATGTGTCCTTCCTATATGTGTGTTTTAATATGTTACAAAACACACTAGTATACATAGCAGCAAGAGAAAGATTTATATAAGGAAGATTATTATGAATGTATAAAGTTATATCACTATCTCGTGTACTTTGTATAGTAGATTTTTGTATTTATCCGTTTGCGATAATAAAGTTATACTTTTTTTCTACATTTTATTACAAAATCTTAGATTAAATCTTAGAAAAACTTTGCTTTTGTCTCCATTAAAATAGCAAAGATTCATTTCGTATATCATTATTGCACTAATCTTATCAAATATTTTTGAAGACAATGTCAAAATTAACTTGTCTGTATTATATTGTTGGTACATTTATTGACACAAGTTACATCTCACTTAAGTGGAATAAATCGAGAAGAATGGGTAGCACCGATACCAGGCCTACCATGTTTAACTGGTTTGTATGTGACAGAAAACTCTCCAAGATAATGCCCAATCATTTCAGGCTTGATTTCTACTTGATTGAAAGTTTTCCCATTGTACACTCCGACAATGGAACCGACCATTTCTGGAACAATGATCATGTTCCTCAAATGGGTCTTGACGATTTCAGGCTTTTCGTTAGGAGGTGTTTCCTTTTTTGCCTTGCGTAACTTCTTCACAAGTGCCATGGACTTCCTCTTTAGTCCATGAGAAAACCGTCTGCGTGCTCTTGCATGCATCAGATCCATTAATTGCTCACTAGAAGAAAAATTAACTGACAATCTATTTTTCAATGTTATGCTAACATGTGCTGTTTACTCTCCTTTGAATATTTTATTATAAAAGTTAGGACAATTCCAGAGGTTAGTTAACTGCAATTACTGCTTACAAAAGTAATATAGAAATACTCATTACATACTTTGTAAAGTGATCGTAGCAGGATTATATTTACTATAAGAAACCACACATGATTGTATAACTTACTTGGGCATATCCAGGAGTTGATCGAGATCAACTCCTCGGAAGGTAAACTTCCTGAAAGTCCTTTTCTTCTTCTGAGTCTCATCTGCCTGTAAAAAAAGAGGGAAGAAGATAATCACGAGATATACGACGACGAAATAAGTCACTGTACGTTAATATATCATTTCTTTATAATTAAAAATATAATAATAATTTGAAATATAATTAAAACATATAATATAATAATAATTTGAAATATAATTAAAACATATGATTCGTAGTTATGTTTTATATAATAAATGTATGGAAACTTTTTCTCTCTCTTATATTTAATATCGAATTTAGAATACTTACTTCAGCCATATTTTCGCTCTCTAAAATCGACAGCAAAGAAAAGCTCCACGTCTCTTTTCTGTGATTTTCTTAGAAGAGATGCTCACCGCGTGGAACACAGGTTATGGTGCGTTCCGATATTCACTGCCAGTATTGAAAATCTATAGTATATGTAACATGAACTATAAATTTTCAGTACTGGCAGTGAATATCCGAACGCACCCGAGATATATGGACGATGCGGTGAAGATGGGCGACACTGCCCTTACGAAAAAGTCACGAAAAAATCCTCAATTTTGGGTGTTAACACTCAAATTTAGGTGTTTATACCCAAAATTGATGGTTTCTTTCGTAAGGATGTGGCTGCGTTCCGAAATTCACTGCCAGTGTTGAAATCCTATAATATACGTAACATGAACTATAGAATTTCAGTTTACTGTGAATTTCGGAACGCAGTCTATATTTATATTTTTAATATTGATAATTTTGAGTTTATAAAATATCGATATAAAACATCGATAATTTAACTGCCAATATTATCGTATATCGATATGAAATTTGTTTAAAGCCAGCGGTATACGATTCTCGTTTTCATATTCGGTTTATTTGCTGGATGTTTTGATTGGTGCGTTTCTATCCATCTTCAGAAATGCACCAATCAGAATAGAGTATTTCCATCCAGCGAGCAAATCAGTATGAAACGAGCATCGTGTGCCGCAGGCTCCAGAACGCTCGACAAAACGCTGGATCCATTTTTACTGGGGGGGTGAAGAATTTGCAGGCAACATAATGAGGTTTGTACATATTGTGGTATATTTTTCACGAACTTTTACCAAATTTCAACGAGTAAATATGTGCGGTCTCGTTGCAAGAATCGCGTTGAAATTCACGAATGCTTACAAGCACGATTTCGTGACGAAAATACGGGACACTTTTGTCCACGTATCTATCATTGAAGTCTGTAGCAGCACACGTGTTTCCTGCTGTTAAATTATTGACTTCACATGATATAATGGAAGCATTGATATTTTATTGATAAGTAGGACGTCACGATGAATGTTATTATTCCTGATGAAAGTACCGTATAAAATTGTATGCGCATGAATGACCAACGAATTGCACATAACCACATTTTTTCTGTTGCAGCTCTTTGAAGCTGCAGAAGAGGCTGGCAGCCTCTGTTATGCGATGTGGGAAAAAGAAAGTCTGGTTAGATCCTAATGAAATCAACGAAATCGCTAATACAAATTCCCGTAAGTTTTCTATTTTCTGTAATTCGTTCTTTATATTTTCTTTCCCTTCCACATTAGTAACTACGATAGCCTAAAACCAATTGAGTAGATCCATCCCTATAAATATCACAGTATATGTTCACTTGACCAGCCTAACATTAACATAAAATTCACTATTCTTGATATAATTATTAGTGCATAAATACATATTAGCATATATAGTATAGTTTTAATGATTTATATAACATCATATATAAGTTACATTAGTTACAACATTGGAAACTATTAAAGCAGAACATAATAATTAATACTTATAATTGATAGCAATTTTAAATACAAGTTATAAAGCAAGAACGTGATAATCTCTTAATAGTTTTAACAACAAACTATCTTTTGTTTTTTACATTGGCAACTCTATTAGCTGAATTAATTATCCATCAGCTTAATCAGAATTTGGAGAAAGTCAGTCTCAATGTATTTTTCTGCACATATAACAATTATATATTGACTTTCTTCAGGACAAAACATCAGGAAACTCATTAAGGATGGTTTGATCATTAAGAAGCCAGTTGCTGTACATTCGCGGGCACGTGTTCGCAAGAATACCGAGGCTAGACGCAAAGGACGTCACTGTGGCTTTGGTAAAAGGAAGGGTACTGCAAACGCGAGAACACCGCAGAAAGTAGATGCACTTCATAGTTATTGATGATAATTGAACGTCACATTTCTTCAGTTTGTATAATTAATCATATATACTTTATATAGGACTTGTGGATACAACGTATGAGAGTCTTACGTCGACTGCTGAAGAAGTACCGTGAGACTAAAAAGATAGATCGTCATCTGTATCATTCCTTGTACATGAAAGCCAAGGGTAACGTCTTCAAGAACAAACGAGTACTGATGGAATTTATTCATAAAAAAAAGGCGGAGAAGGCGCGCGCCGAGATGTTGTCGGATCAAGCGGAAGCTCGTCGTACGAAGGTCAGGGAGGCGCGCAAACGACGCGCGGAACGCATCGCTACGAAGAAGCAAGAGCTCCTGCAGTCGTATCAGCGCGAGGACGAGGCTGCTGCGGCTCTGAAAAAATAAGCTGGAGATCATTTAAGATTGTGTATATTGAAGATAAAACTATGCAAATAGAACAAAAACGGAACCAAAAATAAATCTCATTTTTTGTGTGATAAATTAAACCCTCATGACATCAGAAATAAAAATGTAAAAAATTAGTAAAAATAGATATTAAGACTAATTATTAATCGATTCATAGAATAATTTGAAGTAATTTTAAAAGAATTTTCATGATTCAAAACTATGATGCATGAATAACTAGATAGGGCATTTGAAAAAAAATGCACCAATGAAAACGCTAGAAGCGACCAGTTTACATATCTGTATCGTCTGCACATCTAGTATTAATTTAATCTATGGCTATGCGATGAGAGGAGCGTTTCATTTGCCCATCACTAATCACAACTGCGTGTGATCTAGAGTTTTCTAGTGTCGTCCAATTGATGAATTGAACACCAGCTATAACGTCATTGAAGGATTTATTTTCAAAGGACTGTTTTTATTTCGTGCATTTTGTGGCAAACGCACCATTTCTTTCAAGATTACTCTAAATTACGGCCCCACGAATTGCTCATTAATGTTTGGTAATATTTATATACTTGTACTAATTATTTTTTGTTTTCATTGCTGTCTATTCTTATTAGCTGTACTTTATGTACCTTCTTGTAATCTTTCTTGTTTTCGATGCAAAATCGTGACATAACCGCGTCATAACCTTAAATCGAAAGTGAGATTTTATACTTTTGTTAACGCGAGGATGATCGAGTTATAGTACGCCAAATTATTGCGTGGCAAATATTCTTTTATATAAATTTATTCTCGCTTTATTAGCGTTCTTGCGACGATGACTGTCAAGAATGAAAAGGCAGAGGAAAAGAAAAAAGATGAAACCGGCGAAAAAATATCGGCGGATAAGTCAACCGATGATCAGTCATGGGGATACGATATGTATCCCGAAAGAAAAGGAGCAAAATTACATCGTAGCTGGTTTAAAACAATATTTGGCGCCGAGGGACGAGAATCATTAGATAATGCTAAATGTGAAGCCAATGTATATCATTGTGTAAAAAATAGTGAGTAAAACATTTTTACTTCACGTTATTTATCCCCTGAATAAATTTTGATACAATACAGAAGTGAATTTTGCACTGATGGAAACTGTAGAAGAAAATAGAAAAGTATAATTCTGAAGTTATATTTTATTCCAAGATATTTTTATAATTTTATACAGTTATGTATGAAGAGAAAACAAAGATATATAGAATGTTTAATTAAACTTTATAATTGCTTTGCTTCTATTTTTTTCACATTTGTCTCGATCTTATTTTGTAGGCCCTATAATAAAACTCATGTTGGCTGCATTGAAGAGTGCGGGATGGTTTGTAGTTTTTTTTTACTATCTATAATCAATTACTCTGTCAATATAGATAATTAATTGATATTTCAGTGAAATAGATATTAGAAGACATATCTCCTGTGAAGTATGCATCCAACCGGTAACTGGTGGATATGATCCAGAATTAAATCAGGTGAATATGTTTATCCAAATTTATTTGCCACATAGCATTCACAATAGCATGTTCTAACGATAAAATTTATATCTTGCAGGTTATTGTCTGCCAAAATTCAGCTGCTAGTAAAAGAATGGTACAGGGTGTTCTCTTACATGAGATGATTCATATGTTTGACTATTGTCGCAACAAATTGGATCTAAAGAACATTGATCATCTGGCCTGTACAGAAATCAGAGCTGCAAGTATTGGTCATTGCAGTTTTATGGGCTCATTGTTACAGGGATTTTCATCTCCCATAAATATAAAAGCGACACATCAGGTAAAGTGTCAATTTTATCATGGAGAATGATAAATTTTTGCCATGACATAATTATCAACGTGCAAAATTATTTGTCCAGATTTGTGTTAAGAACAAAGCTAAGATGTCGGTATTAGCCGTGCACAAGGTAACGCCAGAGAAAGCAGAAGCGGCCATAGAGAGAGTGTTCACCAAATGCTACAACGATTTGGAGCCAGTCGGCAGAAGAATTCGTAGAAGCTCGGATGATATGCCGAGAGCGTACGCGGAGGCATATTTATACGGGTATACATAAATATATAGTTTATATAATTAAATTGTTGTAAATATATAAATACGTTTCTGATTATATATATTTTTCTGATATTTACTTACTATCATATTGATACTACACGATATCAAATCCTGTCCTTTCCAACCAATAGTCCTTGAGAAAAAGCAGGTTATATCTTCTATATCCAAATATATATTGTTGCAGTCCAAATATATATTGTTTTAACAGTATGTCATATGTCATCAATAAATTAGATGTTTGAATATAAAATAACAAAGATAAATTTGGTATGGTATATAGATTTTATTGAGTTGAACATTTGACATTGCAGTATTTTTTTCTTAATATATCCATTTATATTTATCAGTCGAAACTAGGGTTGATTGTAAAGATATTTCTATTTGTGTAAATCTGGCATTTTCAAGAAAAAGAGGACGTTAATACTACTTTTAAGTTTTATACAACAAACGTGCGCGATTATATATAACTGTTTACAGTTGCTTCATTACATAGTTCACTCATAATCGTAAATTATTTTGTTTGTATAATATTGATAAGCAATACTTGTCTATACTAACATCAGAATCAAAGGTAAAATATTTCTGTATTCGAAGCGAAGCGAGATGGTATTAACAGAAAGAAAATATGTCTATTTCGTGTCTATTGATCTTTTTTTTCTTTCATCTGCGTAATTTTTATCACAAAGCAGTGTGCTAACGTCACGATTTTATCGTGGGAGTTTAATATATAGATCAGTGCGATTCAATCTTTCATAATTCGCGAGCTAATCTGTCTCCAAAATAATCAGAGTTATAAAGATGATAATTATTACATAACGTATATTAAATATAATAGATTAATCACATCTTTTTTTCTATTATCTACTTGGAAAAAAAGAAGGAAGGGAAGAGGTCGCGATTCATGGATTGGATCATACTGATACGCAAGCTGCATAACATCGATATTATCGATGCCATCATAAAAGATATAGCGGGCATTTGTCCTCTTCATGGGCTATCATTTTTTTTTTCTCAGGATACACTCTTGACATCTCCGACCTTGTCTTCTCTCTTTTTTTATTTCTCTCTTCTTCATTCTCCGTTTTTCTTTTCATATAGAATATCGCTATTTCAGGTATGCGTGACGATCCATCGTGCTGCAGTTTTGATTCTCAACGATAATTGAACAACCCTAGGCTCTCGACGCTAAAGCTAATAGCCTCGATTGAAGTTACCACCCGGCCGAGGGATATCGTAACGTGGTGTCCCGTCGTAGGAGACCTGGGCGCTGAAGCCGTGCTGCCAGTCCGCGGTGTAGCGTACGACCTGCGTCCTACCGTCCGGAAGCTGCACCCTGTACTCACCGCGAACGATGTCACCGTCGCTGATAGCGTTGTGTGAGTAATCGTTGCCGAAGGCGTCTTCCTTCACGGCGTAATTGAAATCGAAAGGCATACCGGGCTCGTGATGATGATGGTCATGCTGAAAAAAGAAAAGAAAAAAAAATAAGACCGACATGAATATTCCGTATCTCTTTGATGATCATCTCTCTCATTATTCGAATCAAATATATGTTTTCCAAAAAAGATAAATTAATGAAAAAACGATTCTCCGTTAGCAAACATTTGAATAGCGATCGTACAAATAGGTGTTCCGATAATGATACGAAAATAGTCCTTTTTAATTATCGAATTTGGACCTAAATTGTTCCTTTTATCATTTTTATTATTATATGTTACAGGCGCGTGTACTTACGCCAATGGTATTCCCATTGATACCGGTCGGTTGACCGGGGTAGTCCGGGGTAGGTCTGATTATGGGCCTGGTTGGCGGGAAAGTGCCCTGCGTCGGGAAGGTGCCCTGCGTAGGTGGTCTGGTGGGAATCGTCGGGCGCGTCGGGAAGGTTTGCGGACGTGTAGGGAATGTCACTGACGGCTTCGGATAAGTGTAACCGCCCTTCGTCGTCGGCTCAGGCGGCAGATACGTGTTACGTCTGGTGCCCGGTGGTAAATCGCCAATAACGCTCACTACTGTCACGCAGAGCACGGCCAACTGCGCGGGAGAAGGAGCGATTACCGGGAAGAAGAAGAAATTGTTGTCGCATCGAGCATACAGTCGGATATGCAGAGGTACATTCTAATTATTCTTTCATCAGTCTCGTGCCCGAGCACACGGGGAAAGTAGAGTAAGACTCGCCGATCAAAGTCAATGTCTGTCTCCATAAAAGAAGGACGACCGCGAATTTCTTCTCTTTACAAGTGTAAAAATAGGTCAAATTAGTGGGTTTATGCGACAGGTTAATGTGGCCGGATACATGAGTTTCCGTCGAGCCTTGATTTCATCTTGACGCGCCGCGCGTTTAATGCGGTGGAGTTTTGTTTGAATTATATGTCGTATATATAGTCATCGCTGCCGCGATCGCCGTGAATTGCTCGTATATTACAATTATTAATTTATATTATTTGTACTTATATATTTTTTTATTTTTTATATATATTTTATATACATATTTATTTTATCATTATTAAAGATATTAATTAGTCAGTATTTTTTGACGAATGTCACCTTCGCTTTCATTATGTTTTTTTTTTATCTCGTCGAACTTTTGGAGATTCGCTGCGAATTTTCTTTCTATATTTATTAACGACGAGAATTTCGAGCAGAGCATGTCATCGATGTCGTTCTAATCGACGTGATCGATCAAATGTTAACAGCATTCACATAGCAGAGACGCTTTTCAACTTTCAGATCCGGTGTTGAATACCGCCACAATCGTCTTCGCGCGTAAACTGACATTTGTCGCGTGATTTATCAGTTACAAATGCGAGCCGTGCCGCGTGCGCGTGTTATGAGCGTGCAATTTTAATAAATCAAGAGGCTCTCTCTCTCTTCTTTATCTATTTTTCCCTCTGTGTCTCTCTGCGTCGGAGAGATGCGCACCAAGCTTGATATTTAATACGTCAAGACATGAGACGGTAATATTTTTTCGCGGTACAACATATCTCCCGCGCTGTGCCTTTTTGATGGGAGATTGATGGGAATAATTATAGTCTGATGACGATGGAACGTCGATCGGATAAAATAATTCTAACGTGCGTCCGTCGTGTTGTGTCCAATGCGGTTCTCTCTGTCTGTATATATATATATATATAATTGCTTCATTATATATATATATATATATATATATATATATATATATATATATATATATATAAATAATTACTTCATTTGTTTATTCAATACGATTACTTATTATTACGTAACGGTTTAAGCGCAATCAGTCATTATTCATTAGTCTAATACAGTTTTAGTAGAACTGCAATTTTGCCGTGAATGCGACTTTCTCATGTCGGACCTCAATTCGAGAATGGCAGAAATAAGGAAAGTCGCGGCACAAGTGCCCGCGCGGAGATTCGCGCGTTCGTCCGTTGTTTTAAAAAATTAGTACCAGTTAGTTTAAAGGACGTCCTCTTTCGCGCGTGCAATTAGCAACGCAATTTCGCAGACGACAGAGACCGCCAGATCCTCGTCGCGGGAGAGAGGCTTTTTTCACGGCGTAATAACAGGTCGCGTTTGACACACAGTGTCGTCGCCGCGACTGACTATTAGATCGTCGACGACCTGAAAGAGAATCGGCGTGAAAGAGGAGCAGACCGAATCAATAATGTTGGCGGTATTACGCCAACAAACGTGTTCGGAGAAGCAACCTGGCGATCTGTGCTCTATTGCGACAGTGGAGACCTTTGTATTATGCTCTTAACCCTGTACTTCGATTGCAACGCTCTCGGTGCTCAACCCACGCTGAGAGAAGGAGAGATAGAAGGAGAGATAGAGAAAGATGGGGGAGGGGGCGGCAGGAGAGAGAGAGAGAGAGAGAGAGAGAGAGAGAGAGAGAGAGAGAGAGAGAGAGGGGG